TGGATGGATGGTACTGGCACCTGAACAGAGATATCTGCCAGAGTCAAGGAGGGGACCTAGTTTCCATTGAAACCGAAGAAGAATGGAATTTCATCAATAACGAGATTCAAAGGCGGAATACTTCCAGCTGTAAAAATAAATGGAGTATTGGTTTAATTAAAGAGGACGGTAATTGGACCTGGGTGAGTGGGAGACCGCTGACTGTTTCCAAATGGGTACGAGGGGAGCCAAGTGGTGAACACGACGTTGGTTTCATGTACAAGAGGTTCAGTAATGACGAACGGGGCGTGTTTGGTAGTGTTAATAGGGAAATTTGGACAAACCAGCACGCTTATATTTGTGAGATTTCCAATGGTGAGTTAACTTGTCGTTGTTGTTTTTTTTCTTAAATGTTCTTTTGAGTAAACTAGCTCTAGAAGCGATTAAGCGTAACAAAAACATTCTTTCCTAACGTTTGCGATACTCACGACAGAATATATATATATACTCTGAAAGTCAGGATCAAGTTTACACTTACCTTTGCTTAAATGAAAAAATGTTTTAAACAATCTTAAGGAACGTTTTAACGATATATATGTCTAACTTTTAACATTGTGAGAAGAGGAAAGTTACAGACGGTTCTGTTACTATCACTACTACGAGTAACAGCAGTTACGAAACTGATGGTGAATTCCAATTGCAAAGAATCATCAGTCCAATTTCTTTGCTAGTTGATAACGCGTGATGATGTGAAGTGCGATATCTTTTGTGTGCTAGTGACTCATGTCAGTTAAGAGACATGCCGATTATCGTTTTATAAAACAAATAAAGAAGACTTGCAGACTTATTTGTTCTTCGCAAAGGGGAATCACCTTTACGTTTATTGCATACTATTTTAATATCCAATCGTACTGTAAAAGTTGTAGGGGCTAATTTAAATGCAGCGCAAAATGTGCGGTGAACGTAATAAACTGACCATCCTGCATCTAATTCGAATATTGCGAGCACTTCGATCGACCTAGCAACCACTATTCTACACCGAGGTTAGTAAGGGTTGCCTCAGTTCACATTCTTTTGTTTTAAAAATAGTCAAAACTGAGTTGGAATTTAATTTATATTCTGCTCACCGAAAAGATAAACATAGACATGCGAAGCATGCAAGAACTATTATTTTGGTTGGGAGGGTTGAGATTGGACACTTGGTGTTCCTAACGCTTTCAGTTTTATAACGGAAAAAAGCATAACTTTTAAAATAGCGAAAATACCATATTACTTTACCCAAAAAGATAGAAAAATAAAACCTAAATTATCTGAAATCACACTATTTATGGTCTATTGTCTCTATTGTCTAAGAACCTTCAAGAAAAAATAAAATGCATCGGTGCCACGCTTACCGTTGTCTCCTTCGCCGTTGTCAGTAGCATTCAGTTCCATGTGAAGTTTTTGGTATTGGATAATGCGGTTCGAATAAGTGATAAAATGCAAGTTGTTTACAAGGAAATAACTCGTGATGGAGAAAAGTCTAATGAGGCATAATGGAATTTGATCGGTGGAATACAATTCAAACAACAGAATACTTGACAAGTTATTAAAATATTATCTTACAGCTTTTTCAGCTACTAGGGAAAACTCGCCATCGCCATCGCCGTCGCCGTCGCCGTCGCCTTCACCATGGCCTTCGCCCTCGCCATCGCTGTCGCCATTTCTGTCGCCGTCGCCGTCGCCGTCACCTTCACCATCGCCCTCGCCATCGCTGTCGCCATTTCTGTCACTGTCACCGTCGCCATCGCCATCGCCATCGCCGCCGTCGCCGTCGCCATCGCCATCGCCATCGCCGTCGCCGTCGCCGTCGCCGTCGCCGTCGCCGTCGCCGTCGCCGTCGCCGTCGCCGTCGCCGTCGCCGTCGCCGTCGCCATCGCCATCGCCATCGCCATCGCCATCGCCATCGCCATCGCCATCGCCATCGCCATCGCCATCGCCGTCGCCGTCGCCGTCGCCGTCGCCGTCGCCATCGCCCTCGCCATCGCCGTCGCCATCGCCTTCGCCATCGCCCTTCGCCATCGCCCTCGCCATCGCCATCGCCATCGCCATCGCCATCGCCATCGCCATCGCCATCGCCATCGCCATCGCCATCGCCATCGCCATCGCCATCGCCATCGCCATCGCCATCGCCATCGCCATCGCCATCGCCATCGCCATCGCCATCGCCATCGCCGCCGCCGTCGCCATAGCCATCGCCATCGCCATCGCCATCGCCATCGCCGCCATCGCCATCGCCATCGCCATCGCCGCCATCGCCATCGCCATCGCCATCGCCGCCGCCATCGCCCATCGCCATCGCCATCGCCATCGCCATCGCCATCGCCATCGCCATCGCCATCGCCATCGCCATCGCCATCGCCATCGCCGCCATCGCCAAATCGCCATCGCCATCGCCATTTTTAAGCCGACGCCAAAATGTTCGCCAACTAAGCCACGCCAACCATAACCGTCGCCGTCGCCGTCCAACATCACCTCTTCCCCAAACAGTCGCCAAATTTTGTCGCCATCGCCACCACAGCTCGCCAAAGAGGAAAGATGTTGTCTTTTTTTTGTAAAGTCCGACTAAAATGTTCTCCCAACTAAGACACTACAACCATAACGTAAAATTACCAACATCACCTCTTCCCCAAACAGTGTTAAATTTTGTGCGCTTTGTTAACTTTACTTTTTTTTTAGGTCAGAAGTTCCTCTGAAAAGCCTTCTGACCTAAAAAAAGTAAAGTTAACAAAGCGGACAAAATTCATGTAGTTTCATTAAAAAGCAACTCAGAAGAAACAGTTTGCGGCTACAATCATTTGACGCATTTTGCCGTCTTAATGAACTACGACGGTAGCACAAAGGTAATCAAAAGCCAAAATAATTTAACTAACATTTAACTAAATCAATGTTCTTATTTGAATTTTTTCTTTTTGACACAGCTCGCCGAAGAGGACGAAACAGCTCTGAAAATTATCACCCACGTCGGACTAAGCCTTTCCATCGTCGGGATCCTTTTAACATTAATACTTTATTCTTGCCTCACGTAAGTAATGTACCTGAATATCAGTGAGGTAGATTCCCTCAACTATGCTAGAGAGAAAAGAGATCTCAGTGCAAATCTCCACGCCAATAAAAACACGCATGTCGGGTAACTCACAAATTCAAATTATATTCCATGCCCCATAAAGAGCGCTTGAACAACTCATGGTTTCATTGTTTATGAATTGCTTAGGGTTTAGTCATTTCCCTCGTGATACTTTCTTTTTTTGTACTTTCTGGATCTATTTACCGAGTTTTTTTTCTTTCATTTGCTGTCAGAATTTTACTTGATTTCTTTGGCCATATTTTACTGTACATTTTAATTCATTCAATTCTCTTCTTTTTTGTGCTTAGTGTCTTTAGTGTATTGTTGTTATTGTTGTTGTTGCTTTTCTCTAGTTCATTCTTTTTATTTTTACTATTATTACTATTTTTTTTACTATTTCATCAGAGATGTTGGTCAACCTCTCTCCCAAATTCGAATGAGTGTTTCTATGTCCCTTGGAGCTGGACAGATCATCTTCCTTGCCGGAATAAACGCCACAGAAAACAAAGTTAGTGGCCCCTTTTTCTATCCATGGAACGAATTTCCCCGTTGCACCGTAAATATCTTGTCGAAAGGAGCGTCATAAGTATATGAAAACTCTTTCTTTCCACAGGCTGCCTGTGTTACAATAGCAGCTCTGATGCAGTATTTCTTGATGGCCGCTTTCTGTTGGATGCTGATTGAGGGAATTTATCTCTACTTCTTCGTTGTGAAAGTTTACAACATTAACACCAAGATGTACATGTATCACGTCACCTCATGGGGTGAGTTTATTATTTTTAAGCACTGGTAACTGTAACCATGCTTTCGGATCGCCAAATCTGGTGTTTTCATGCAGTAAAATGTTTTGATTTCCTTCCTTTCTTTATGGGTAGGTCTTCCAGTGATCATGGTGGCCATGTCATTTGGCATCGCTGCTGGAAAAGAAGGGTTACGAAGCTATAAGAGTGATAAATAGTAAGAAAAAACTTCGACGATTTATTCTTGCTCTTCTCCTTTTAATTCGTTGCATTTAATTCTTTGTTTTGTTTTTTCATATATTTTGAGACAGGTATCATTTCATTTGCTGACAATTTGTGTTTCTTTCGTGTCTCTCACCTCTTCGAGTTTAGTTGCTGGCTTTCCTCGTCTGACAACCTGATCTGGATATTCGTCGCTTTTGTGGCTTTCATTGAAGTTGTGAGTTTATGATTAGTGCTGGTAATTGTGATTGGTATACCTGGACTACTTGCTGCTAAAGATTTTTTTCTCTGATCTTTAAAAAAGGAATTAAATATGTATGATATGACCTCACACATCATTTACTATTTTCCTTTTCCTATTTACTCACAAAAAAATTTGGACGCAGCTGCTGTTTGCAGGGATGCTGGTCAATTTTGACTAAGTGATGACCTTTAATAGCGAGCAAAGCCTGTTGGTACAAAGTCTACACGGGAAATAGATAGCTTCATACATTCTCCAACTTTAACTACATAGTATGAGGAAAAAGATTCTTCCCTTTCCTTGTTGAAGTTTTCTCACTGTTTCACACTGATATACCAAGATATGTTTTTTGCGCAAAAATAACTCTTAAAAAAAATTGAACAAGATGAAAGGAGCAGGAAGTTTAGGAGATATTAAATTTATGTGGTTTAACATGAGGATTCACTTTGCATAGTTCATTTAGTTCAGACACTTTAGTTCGCGATTTCTTCTGCTCGAAGTCAAGGAATCGAAGCTCATAATCTAGGTCCCACAGTTGGGAGTTCTATTCCCTGTAAATGACTCTTCATCCCAAGCTAGTTACCAAACTAATAACGTCTTTAGCAAGGATCCTTTCTACTCTGGCTATTCGACAACCATATCCTAATAATCAATTTATTTTTATTGTATTTTTCAGCTCAATATCTTGATACTCGTACGAGTCATAAAGGAGATGAGCAATTTGTTGCAGCCGATAGGGGAAGAGTATCATTCTCAGCAAATACGGTAAGATTCACAACCTAAACCTAAAACAAAAGAGTGGAAGAAGCTACCATGTCCTCCTGTGAGGCTATATTCGCCTAATTTCCTCATTCCTTAATCAGTAAGGCCATACGATATCTAAAATGAAAATTCATTGTCAAAGGAAAATAAAGGAATTTTCTCTTTTTCACTCCTAGAATTAGCATCACAGCATGCGTGGTAATGATTCCCCTCCTGGGTGTCACATGGGTATTCGGTCTCCTTTCGCCTGTACATAAAGCTTTCGCTCACATCTTCACCGTACTTAACTCTGCTCAGGTCAGTATTCGATTGTAATACTCAAAATTATTCAATCTCTATCTTTATTTTACTTTCTAACCAAGTGGGACACCATTGCAGTGATCACATTTTTTTTTAAATTTTAATTTGAAAACAAAAATGCAGTTAAGTATGCAAGAGAAGACAGACTTCTTTTTCCATTGTAAGATATGCAATTTTCTTTCTTTCTTGGAAATCTTAATAGGTATTTGACTGATTTGTTAGTATACTATAAAAATCAATGATCTTGAAATCATTTTTATGCTGCAGGGTTTCCCGATTTTCGCTCTACACTGCATGCGAAACAGTCAGGTAAGTAAAACATTAAACTAATTATCAACTCCATATCATCAAGTTTTATTGTTTCGATAAATATCCGAGTACTAGTGCTAAGAACCATATTTCATGTTCCTTGTCTATCTGCAGATCAGAGAGGGGTTCAAAGGAAAGATGAATATCGTTTTTCCATCTTCTATAAAGAACAACTCCACAAGTAAGAGCTCACAGGTCAATCCAAGTGAGGTTGGGGATGTATGGGCAGTTGAAATGCAGTCTTGTGCTGAGTTTGAATTGAAATCGCACGTAACTTAAATAATTGGATCCAGCCAACCGGAAATGACAGTCAATTACTTAGTACAATCACTAATTTAACAGCAATAAGTAGGCTACGATCGGTCTGACTTGCGATCTGCAGCTAAAAAGAGGTCTTTCTTTTTATTAATGTTTAAGCACTCAACCAGTTCAGTGTAATTGTAACCTATCTTCTTTATGATTATAAGCTTATTTTCTAAGCGATCTTATATTTGTAGGCAAGATTCATCGAAGTAAATCAATCCATAAATTCAAATTTCTAATAGCTCAGTATCTTGATGACTTTCCTTCGAATAAGATCACAGTCTACTATAGATGAGGCGGGAATTCATGTCAAGATATCACGAATTGTCTTTCTTTAAGAAGTACTATAGCACGCACCTTTAATTGAACGTATTTATCTTTTGATTCTTACGCGCCAACTTTCTGCGCTTACCGCATGATTATTTCATATTCGACGTTTCACTTATTGAGTTTACAAACTTCTCACCAAACGCTGTTATTACTTTTAGCAATGAGCTATATGGATAATAACTTAAAGTATAAGTTTCTAAAAATTTAGAGAATGCCTAGTCATGCTGAAATGCATACCAAGGAACTTTCTGAAGCATTTTACTAGGTTACTTAGTTATGATATAACACTACCAGTATGGTTGTGTTGTAAGCGTCCGGAATTTCCAAGAATACTTTGTACATAAGGACTCAGTTGTGCAGCAGTAATGTTGTTGTCGGGAGTGACTGACTTTTCAGAAGGCTATACCGAGAGAGAGCTACTGTGAAAAATTGTTAATTTTGAGGCACTTTGGAGACAACTGTGAGATTGTGTCAGTGGTGAGCTAAGAAATAGTTTGTGGTGGGCTTCAATCAGTTTATTTAAGGATAATTATTCTACTTCCTTTTACAGTCGGTCATTGATAAAAATATTACAAGTTGTTTAATAAAGTAGTTACGTTTGTTGATAAATGATGCTCTTTCTGTCTGTTAAATTGTACCGTAACAAGTAATACTAATAGTCTTACAAGCTAGCGCTGACATTCAAAGTTGTTGTGTAATGAATAAGTAGATGAATACGTAAATGTTTGAATAAATAAACAACCAATTTAAAAGGAACAGAAAAAAACTCCTTATGACTGGATCTTTTGTGGATCAGTTTCATTTACCCATTTTTTTTTCGCATTCTAAGATAAGGAGTATCGTTTTGAATCGAAAATACATCGAATAATTTGGAATTAAATTGGGGCAATGTTAAGCGGAAATAACAAACCAAGAGATTATAAACTATTCGGCACACATCATTAAACAACGATTAAAGAACAGAGTATACAATTGAAAGGAAAAAGCTTGGCGATAGAAATGCCGAATATTTCCACTGGCCTGGTTTCCAAATATCACTACAGCGGAGACGTAGCATTGAAGAGAAATTTCAACAAGCCAGAGAAGGAGTCGATTATATAAATGCGCCTAACAATTTACAACAGTGGATGTTATGTCACACCCATTTATAAACAAACATGAATGACGAAGCATACGATTAAGACGGAAGAGTAAAAAAAGAATTATTCTAGAATATACAAGCACCTTTCTCTCTACACCGCTAAAATGCGATAGGTCAAAACGCTTTAAGCTTCGATTGACTAAATAGATCGCAGCTAGGACTAGGGAATTTTCCAGAATAAATTATCGATTATTCCATGAGCGCAGAGACATTCTAAGAGAGTGAAATGTCGGAGTTTGCCGCGCTATGAAAGTAATAATACTCGCTAATTAACACATGAGCGGATTAGTACATGAAAGTTGAAGGCAGACGAAGTAATTAGACCCACCAACTGAAACGCTAAGCATGTCATCGGCGAGATGAATGAATAATAATCATTTTCATTGGCAGAGCTCATAAAGACATAACAGTTCTGAACATCAATTATTTTTGAGCTGCTTCTTTACAAAACTTCAACTACAAAAAGTGGTTTAATGCCGTGAGGTTTTTCGATTGTATTAAGAAAAACAATGGTCCACATCTGGTGCAAGTTGCCTTTTGTCTATTGGTCCGTCTATGACAGAAAAGTAAAAATGGAGACTATAGCCATGAATATGCGAACACAGACCATGATTTGCATTAAACTCAAACTAGTACCAAAGCGTTTTACGAGGATGCCGCAAATCCAAAACTCTCAGGTGAGATGAATCAAATTTTAGTGTAACTACAGCTCTTAACAGCAACCTTTACATATCTTGGGCATTATGAAGTGGATGATAAATGGAACTAAATCCCGAAAATTTTTCAAAACCTTTTTAATATGTTGTATGCTGGGTAAGTACGACGCTAGTTATCCCTGTTTTTTCTGCTATAGCTACGAAACCGTCGAAACTAACTTTCCAATTTGTAAAATATTTATTTTCATTTTAAACCTTCGGAGCTCTAATAACGAAACATACCAAACTCTACACATCTCCTTTCTAAACTATTTTTAATCATCATAGTAAAACTTTGGGATCTTTGTATTATCATTATTATCATTGTTATTAATTTCTCATTTTTTTTCACTTTCCGCCCAATGCCAAATGATTGAAAAAGAAATAGCCAGAATGAAACATCCGTGTAAGTGTAAAGACAGCTTACTGACAGCAACCTATAATAGTTTCGTGTTCTTGATGAATTGTGCGATGAGTACAATTGAATTTTATAAGTTGTGCACTAGTTGGGCCCGGCGCTTAACTCCGGTTTCATCAGCACGAAGCAGCTAGGAGTATTACTACTCCATCGCAGGCACCCCCTTTGCACACAATGGTGAAGAGAAGCCTGTGAGCTCGAACCCGTCCACTCGGAGTCGAACGCAACAACCATGAACCACCGCGCCTCCCACTAACCTATAATACCAACCTATATCCGGTTTCATGCGCATGATGAATTCCACCGCGCCTCCCACTAACCTCTAATAGTAACCTATAGCAGTTTCATGCGCTTGATGAATTGTGTGATGAGTACAATTTAATTTTATAAGTTGTGCGCTAGGTAAGTACCACCTTAATTATATCTTGACTATCCATTTGCAAAACATTTATATCGATTTTGGAACGTCTTGTGAAACTCAGCCAAACCAATCTGAGAAAAAATGTCAGGTGGCGGTTATTTGGCACTCTTAATTAAAACAAAACAAGCCAGCCTGTAAAGATGTGCGCAATAAACTCTTAGTTATTAATTAGAGAAGGATCTCTCGTAAATTGGATTCCTGAAGCCTTTTAGATTCCATATAGCGCAAAGAAATCAAAGATCAAATAGCACAAGACAGACATTCATGCGGTGGTCATGTTGTTCGCGTCGTGGTTGTCTGCACAACAGCTTTTGCAGCTATATTTAAGATAACAGGAACAGATAGCTTAGTTTCTATTGTTTTATGTCACTATGACAAGATGTGAAAAGGGAAACGCGTCCCCTCTTTTTATGCGTCAGATAGCTGCTAAACGTTTGACGAGCTTAGACAAGCGATCGAACTTACTTACCCAACAGGGTCCACTTAAATTAGCATCAGGTTAGACAGATACATACTTTAACTTTCGATCCGGGGTTTGGAAAAAAATTGATTTGGTTGGTGTACTTTTTCCTTACTCGTAATAAGTTAAAACACCATTACTATTCATGAATTTCGATGGCTGATTTTAAGAATGCGCTGAGGGGTTAAAGTGAAGTGCACTCACAGAAAAAATAATTAAAACAACTCTAAAAATTAAACAATATTTACGTATTAAAATTCAGTTATGGAATTCCTTACAGCCACTCGGAGATTCTATTTTGATTTATGCTTAAATTAAAAATTATAAGATTGGCTTTTTTAATAAAGCCCTCTTTCCAGTCATGTTTAATGGTTCACCCCGAAATTCTACGAGGATCACGGGCGATAATGTTACTTTACACCTCGTGTTCCTCATTCCAGGGTCATGTACAATGAATTCCAACTTTTAGGTTCACTGGGAGCCTTCGGATGAGGCGTTATTCAAATATCGCGGTACCCAAACCGTTAGAGCTTTCGAATTATTGTTCAGTTATTAATCAGTGAGGTAGAGGGTTTTTGATGTCCATCGTTTGTTTGAGGATCGAGGATCGAGGATCGAGGATTGCTTCTATATTCGTGTCAGCATTATTGTCATCGTCAGTAGGAATTTTTTCATTTATTTATTTATTTGCTTCCCATAGAATGCCAAGCAACCTGTTTCAAAAACTCCTCTTACATCTTTTCAACAAGGAAAAGAGTTTGGGTTAACAACAGGAATGTCTGCTCCAGTCAGGGAGGCTACTTAGTCTCCATCGAAACCGAAGAAGAATGGCAGTTTATCAATTAAGAGATTCAAAAACGTGGTAGTTGGAATACTAGTGCGTGGCACATTGGTTTAGAGAAGAAAGGCGGGGTTTGGACTTGGGTGAGTGGAGAACAACTAAATATTTCGAAATGGCGATATTTTCAGCCAAATAGTAACGACAAATGGGCGGAAATATCTAAGAATGGAGGCCTCTTTCATGTTATCTCTACGCCTGGAAGAAATGCCTACATTTGCGAGACGCCCGAAGGTAAGATAACATTCCAACCATAAAGTATGTAATGTGCTGACATTATATACTTGACATTAGAGTCTTGCACTTGTGTCATGATAATTTCTCTTGCCTCTTAAAAGTAGAAATATAGTTCGCAGAGTATACTCAGCTCCTCTGATTTGTACGTGTGAGCGATGAATGAACTTTTAAGCGCGTGTTAGTAGTTGAACATAAAACCCACGAAATTTCCGGGACACATGTTAAAGAAAAATTAATCATTCTAGAATTGTCCCTTTTTGCATCGCCTGCAGCTGGAAAAACAGCGATCGAAATTGTATGTTTCACTACTTTTGTCGAGCGCGCTACGATTTGGATAATCTAGCCAACGGAATTTTCCCTTGCCACAAGTTACAAGGCGTGTTCACCGAGGTCAGTGAGTGTATGTATGTTGTTTGGAACATAAAAAAAGCAAATTGTTTTATTTT